AACCAAGCGCTTGGTTCGAGCCTTTGTTCAACCGATGATCGAGTATAATCGATGATCGTGACATCACTATGCTGTTCTCTTATGAAATGCCTGTCACGTGTAGACCCCGGACCGAACGAGTGAGTGGACCCCACATCTACTGTGGTAGCTCCAAGAAACGGGTCATACATCGAAACACGTTGATGTTTGATGTTAATTGTGCAGTCTGTACGGGCAACTCTTGCAGTAACTTTCTAGTGATAAAAGCCCTCCTGGTTGAGGGCATTCGAACCACCCTTTAGGCTTTAGCACCTAGACGAACTCCTGCTAGCACACTTGCCGATTATCTCAGCAGTGAAGAAGCAGAGTGAACGTTCGAATTACCTTGGACGATGAGCGACGTGCGCCCCAGCCCTTCAACGACCCAAGACTGCGTATCGATCCCCAGCTTCGAAACTTTTCCTTCACCAGGCTTCCTAGGCTCCCGGTGCTTCGCACACTGCCACTCTGGCTGACCGACTGAAAAATACATACACGTCTATTGTCAGCACGATGATTGTAATTTAACATGGGGTTACACCCGATGCTTTTCAGTCCCTTTAAAACTGAAGGTCTATCAAAACAAACCCCCACTCCCAGGATCGTTGTAGCTTGTACTGTACAGTGTACGGTCAGAAAAGAACCACTGTTTCATAAATTAGTATAGGGACTTTACGGAACAACTCAGCCGTGACGGAAAAGTACGGCCTTACCGGTTCGAATTGCTGCTTCCCTACAAATGCTACATAATTATGGCAATTGTTATTTAATTATGGTGCTTACGTCGACAACTGGCATCGAGTGCCATTTCTTTTCGTCGGACAATTTATTTTGTTTGTTCCCCATCGCCTCGTAGTATGTATGTTATTTGAGATTCATTAATATCACGTTTTCGTTCGGGACTCCGTCATCCGTGCCGTCAGAAGACGTACACGGGAAAACATAACAAGCAGACGTAGGGAAATCCTACGGAAGGTAAACAACTTTCGGTGGCCGTCGCCATTCCGCTATCCCACAAATCATCAGCGTGACATCACCAGTCGAAAACAAGGAAGTGAGTTTATTTGTTTCATTATTAGTTGGGAAAATAAAATTGTTTGAAATATAAGATGAAAACACTTTTTTGTGTCACTAATTTTGGTTAACGTAGGTATTTGTGCATTTAAATGTATTTTTATTGATTAAAAAAGGAAATATTAAGAAATTATTTTGTTGGGTGTTCTATCAATGCGTGTGTCTGGTATAGACATACGGGTGCTTGCCAAGGTGAATATTGCTTCTATTTTGTGTTGAGTTCAACGTTTTACTACTAGGTAGTTTGTACCACGATGTCGTTCATAACAAGGCAAGCAATCCGCAGATTTAGTGCTGCAGCTACTACAGACCACGGAGGTAAGTAGTTCACAACGCATGTTTAACTATTTAGCTTTTTATGCGAAACCTATTTAACCATTTCATTTTTTGAGCTTTCAGTTTCACTCGGTCATGCCACACATGTCGTACCCAAACTTGGAATCTGCACAATCTCGAGATTGTGCA